TTTAGTTATTAATTTTTTATCCCAATGTCTACTAATATCTCTATTTCTTCTATATTTTTTATATAAATTATGAAATGTATTTATAAAATATTTAATTTTAATTATATTTTTTCATATTAATTGATTTTTTCTATTACTTTCATAAATTAAATTAAAGGCATTATTTCTTACTAAGATATTTACTTCTTTTTTTAACAATAAAAATATAATTTTTATTTATTTTTTTTAAATTACATTATTGAAAACATGAATTTTAATTAATTTTTTTTTAAAATTTTGCAATTTATTTCATATTTTAATGAATTTATTAATTTTTTCTAATAGCTTCATTTTTGTTTGTTTAATAACAAAATAAAATAATTATTATACTATCATTTATAAAAATTAAATATAATACTAATTTTTCTCTAATTTTAATTAATTAAAATAAACAAAACCATCATTAAATAGTTTATAATAAAACAAAGAAAATATGATAAAAAAGTGTTGCTGAATTTCAACTTATAATATAAAAATGCAATTTTTAAACCATTTACGACATATGTTGTATATAAAATAAATATAAATATTTTATTATAATAAAAATTTTTAAATACCCGACTTTATATATCTTATATGCCTTTTATAATAAAATTATATAAAAATAGAATAGAAATCTATTAAAATCCAAATAAGAAATGTTATATATATATTTATTTAACTAAAAATAAAAAAAAATATTTTATATAAAAAAATCTTAAAATTATTAAGAATAAAAGTCAATAATATAAAAACAAACAATACATATAAAAAAATTAATATATTAAACAAAAAAATTAAGTAAAAATAAAAATAAAATTTGAAATATTATTTTTTATTTAAATATTTATATATAAAAAGTAAGTATATATTTTTTAAAATAAATATAAAAAAAATATTAATACTTAACCAAAATGGAATAATAAAATAATTAAATAAAATTCATAAAAAAAAAAATGAATTATAATAAAAATATAAATATTTAAATTGACTTTATATATATTTTATTATATTAAAAGTACATATTTTTCAATTTATTTATATTTTCAAAAAATTTTATATAACAAAAATTTATATTATAATCCATCATCTATTTACGATTTAATTTATCTCTTTTTTTATAAAAAAAAAACTCAAAGATAATGATTTATAATCAATATATATGATAAATATAATTGCTATAAAATTAAAATTTCTTAAATATACATAATAAAAAAAATTATTTTATAAAAAATAAGCTATGCACGCATCTATATTCACTTTTATTTTTAAATTTATATTAAAAATATATCTTTTTATCAAAATTTATCAGTTTTTTTGTTTTTTTAATATTTATTCGTATCATATGTAAATTATTTATTATTAAATAAAAAGATGAAAATTTCAGATATCGCAAACATATATTAATTTTTTCAATAATTATTGAATTTAGCTTTTTTAATAAGTAATATACATATAATAAATAATTTAGTGTTAGAAATAACTCTAATATCTAAAATATATTCATTTATAAAATTATAAAAAATTATAATGAAAAAATAAAAAAATTAATATTTTATGATTTAAACTAGTTCTTAATTTATATAAAAGATTTCAATCATTATATAATAAAATATCATTAAAAAAACATAATATAATTATTAATAATATTTTTTTTAAATAATTCATAAAAAAACATAAAATTTACTTGTTTATTTAATAGAATTTGTATAATAGGCAATTAAAGAAAAAATATAAATAAAATTATTTTATTATTAAAATATATAAATAAAAAATAATTATTATTAATAAAAAATCTAAGATATTAAAAATATTTTAAATAAATTAAAATTATAAATAAAAAAACAATAAAATATAAATAAATATTAATTAAAAAAAAAAAAATATATATATAAATAAATAATAATAAGATTTGAAAATATATAAAATAATATATAATAAATTATTTAATAAATATATATTTATATATAAATAAATATATATTATATATATATTTATATATATTTATATATCATAATTTTTTTTTTATTTATCTTTAATTTTTATTATTTTTTATTTATAAATACTTTTTATATAATATTAAATATAAGATAAAATCTTTATTATTATTTTACTTTTAATTTATACAATTTTTTTTTTTTTTTAATTCTTTTTATTTTTTATTTTGAAAAATTTTTTATCAAATATATTATTCATTTCTAAATTCATTATCTTTTTCTTAATTTTTGTTTTGTTTTTATTTTACTAATATATTAATAAAAAAATTATTATAATCTTTATATTAACGAATATTTATATTTTTTTTTTATTATTTTATCTTAAATATACAAAACCTTATATTATATTTTCTAAAAACGAATTCAGTTCTCAAAATTTATTTGTTTTATAAAATCTAGATCGTTATATATTAATAGATTTTTTGTTTTTATAATTCTATTTTTTTAGATATTATTTTAATTTTATTTCTATAAATATTTTTTTTTTTTCTAATATACATTATTTTTGATGTATTTTTTAATCAATTTAATAATTATTATCAATATATACTTGTGATATTTAATTTTATATTTATTTCTATTTTGATTATATATAATAAAAGATTATTTGAACTTTATTGGTTTTACTTTTTTTTTTATATAATATTTTTAAGGTTTTTTAATTAATTTTTATTTATTTTTATTTTAATTAATAATTTATTACACAGAAATAAATTTTATAAATATTAATAGTATTTATACTTAAATTATTATTAATTATAATAATTTTTAAAATATCATAGAGTTGTCCTTATTATTTGTTTAAATTTATTATAATTTCATATATTATTTGTACATATATTTATTATCAATACAAATTATTTTTATATATGATTGCTAAATAACAAAATGTAATAAAAAATAGAGAATAATAATAAAAATTCATAAATAATACAAATATTTTTAATATATATATATATATATATAAGATCTAATAAAATAATAGTAAGGTATAAAATGAACTGAATAATAATAAAATCATTTTGCAATTTTATCTATACATTATTGATATAATTTTGGAAAATAACCTCTTAACACTTATGATAAAATATCTCCTTTATCAGCATTTATATTTAAATTTCCATATAAATTAGCTAAATAATCATCACTTTTATTCGGATTATCAAATTCAAATTATAATTTGCAATTTTCTATTTAAGTAATTAATTCATTATCATCTTTTCCCCACCATTTTTCTTCCTATTTTAAATCAGATTATTGTAAAGTTAACAAAACTTGAATGATCTTAATTAATAAATTAAATACTTATTATAATGTTTAAATTTAACAATTCGTTTATTTTATATATGTTTTTAAATCAGAATCTAATTTCTATTTATATTCGTTTTAAATTATATCAAATTAAGGTTTGTTTAAATTTCCTGTATTTATTTTTTACTTTGCTATATTTTCCATTAATATTTTTATTTAAGTTATTATTTTTTAGTTATCATTTATACTAACTAACTATAAAATAGTCTAAAAAGCCTAATTTTTTTGGTTTCCACAAATTTTAATATATTCAGTTAATTCATTTGATTAAAGGAATTATAATTTCTCATCTATTGACATTTATTGGATTTTTTTTAATAATATTTCTTCAAATTTAGTCTCTTAATATTAAAAATATTAAAATTATATATATTTTATATTAAACATCTATCTTCTCGGCTTTAAAATTATAGTTCTTCCTTTTCTTCTACTCTTTTATTGTTATCTGAAACACATGAACCCATAAAAAAAAATATAAAATATAATAAATATTTATTTAAAAAATTTAATAAAAATAATGTTATTATAAACAAGAAAAAAAAATATTTAATTTTATTATTTTAATATTTTAATCATACAAATAATTTAAAAAAATAAATTCATAAAATATTATAATTAATAATAAATAAAATAAATAATTAAAAAATTTACATAAAATATTATAAATAATAAAAAAAGAGATTATAAATTATAAATATATTATATATATAAATATATATATATATTTTTTTTTTTTATTTTATTTTTTAATATTACTTTTTTGTTTGCTATGTTTTATTTAATTTTTTTATATATTAATTATAAATAATTTAATTTTTAATTTTATGTTTATTTGAAATATTATTTAAATAAAATATATATATTTTTTTATATAGATATCGATAATAATATTATATCTAAATTAATTATTTTTTTTTTTATTTTTTTTGTATATATATTTTAGTTTGCATTTCATATTAAAATTTATTTTTCATAATTTTAGATTTCTTTAAATATATATTTTTTAATTTTTTTAATTAAAATTTTTAAATCATTATAATGTAATAAATACAATTAACTTATTTTTATCTTTGAATACTTTTATTTATATATTTAAATAAAATGAAATTTTAGAATTAACTAAAGTATATAGGTATAATATATTAAATAATTAATACATATTCCTAATTTTTATATATAAATATTTTATACTATAAACTAGTCAATGAATTTATTCTTTTATAAAGATATTTTTTTCATTATCAATTTTTTATATTATATAAAAAAATAGAAAGAAAAAAACTTCTTAATACATCGTCATTTTTCTCAAAAATTTTATGATATTTAATTACTTTTAATAAATTATTTAATTTTTAGAATAATTTTATATTAATTTAATTAATTATTTATATTGGCTAATGGCGTAATAATAGTAATGTATTTTTTTATAATAGATTGATTAAAAAGTATAAGCATTAAAGTAAATTATATAAATATATGTAATATAAAAAAATAAAATTGTCCAAAAACTCAAAAAATAATCAAAATTAAATAAATATAAAAAAAAAAAAAATATTAATAAAATACTAAAATGGAAAAAAACCTAAATAAATACTGGTTTATAAGAGGCAAATATTATGATTTAGAACCTTTTATAAACGAACACCCTGGAGGAAAACAAATTATAATTTAAACTTAAGGAATATCTGATTGTTCTGCTCTTTTTGAAACTTATCATGCTTTTTCTAATAAAGAATAAATAACTAATTAATTAAAAAAATACGAAATATAAGACGACAAACTGAATAAATAAAACGAAGAAACTCAAAATTCTAAAGAATACTTTGACTTCACAGAATATAATGAACTAGTTGAAATAATAAAAAAATATACAAATCTTAAAAGTCGTAAAAATACAAAATACAACAGCTTCTATGCAATAAAGAATATAATATTTTTAACTATTTATTTCTATGTTTTTTTTATGGTATGGTATATCTATAGAGTACTTCAATGACAATATTATCTGGAATAATTTTAGTTGCACTTGGATTTAATATAATGCATGATGCCTCACATTTCGGACTTTTCAAAGATCCTAAGAATAATATAATAGCTAGCAATATATGGAACACATTTGCCTTATGGAATACTAAAATATGGTTTTATCATCATGTGTATGCTCATCATACTTTCACAGGTGATGACAAGAAAGATCCCGATGCTTTACATTATCGACCTTTTGCTAGAAAAAATAAAAATGATAAATATATTAATAAGTTTTTTGGAAAATATTAAGTCTATTTTATCACTTTTGTTGCTAGTGTTTTTCCTGGAATGTTTTTGGGATAAGTAATTTCTTATTTAATTGGGGCAAATAGAGGAAAAATATGGAGAGTTTAACTTCCAAAGGGAACTTATTATGGAAAAACAGAAATTTTTTTCTTTTTTTTTAAGGCTTTTCTCTTATATTAAAGTGGATTATTAAATAGTATATTATATATTATTTGCCTAAATGTTGCTTATCATATTAATATTGCACCTGATCATGACACTTATGAAAGTAATGTTGAAAATAAATTCTAAAATTAAGTAAAAAACAATAATTGGCTCAGAATGTAAATTTAAAATAGTGGAAATTTTGCAAATTCTAGCTTTTTATGGACTAATATTTGTGGTGGAATTAACTTTTAAATAGAACATCATTTATTCCCTAATGTTTGTCATGTGCATCTTCCTGAAATTGCTTTGATAGTTAAAAAATATTGTGTAGAAAAAAAAATTCCTTATGTATCGCATGCTAATTTTTGGGATGCTTATAAATCTTTCTTAAAAATGATAGATTATAATAAATATTGAATTAATATTGGGATATATTTTATTAATTTTATAGAAAAATAAAATAAACAAAAAGTTATATTTTTTTATATAAATTATTATATTAGTTTTTAACTATTTTTATTTATAGAAATAATTAATATAATTAACTTTATAACTTTTTAATATTTAAAAAAAATTATCTTATTATAAATACTTTTTATTATTAATATTTAATAATATTAAAATACTATATTTTGTACTAATTTTATTAAAAAATAGAATTTTATTATTATTTTTAAATGAATGTATAATTAATTTAATTAACTAACTTATTTCACTTTCTATTGTAATCATCAAAATAAAGAGTAAGAGATTATTTTAAGCTAAGTATAATACTATCATCAATATCTGGTTTATATTGCCAAATATAAATCAAATATTTTAATCTCTTTGTTTATATTATTTATTATTCTTAAGAAATTTATGAACTAATATTAATTTTGAGTTCATAATCTTATTTTAATTAAGGTAAAGCTTAAAAAAGTATACTCTCTATAAAAAATTATAAATAATAAATAATATATAAAATAATATATATATATATATATATATTTATATATATATATATATATATATATTTATATTTTTATTTTAAACATATTATTTATATTTAAAGAAATTTCGGAAACTTTTAATTAAGAGAATCTATTTCTTTTTAATCAATATTATTCTTAGTAAAGCATTAATTTAATACTTGATAAAAATTATTGCAATTCAGCTCTAACATATTTAAAAATTTATACTATTTAATTATTTATATAATTAAATTAATTATATTTAATAATACAATATTATTTAATATTTCTTAATTCAATTATTCTATTAATTTTTCATTATCAATATCTAGTTTATATTGAAGTTCTTTATCTATTTAGTTTAATAGGCCAAAATATTAATTCTGTTAATCTAAAATTAATCTATTATTAATTGTTTTCTTATAAAAAAAATTAAATACTCATGTGTATATTTATTTGTTAGTATATTTTCAATAATTTTTTATCCTTAATTATTTAATTTATTTATTTTCTCTATACAAGCTTCTATCGATAGTAATTATGATATAATTATTTCCTTTTTTTATTAATAAAGTTGATTTTCACTTATCATATTCTTAATTAAAATAAAAAAAAGAAAAAGAAATTAATTAAATCGAAATTATATTAGATTAATACTTTTTGTATAAATAAAACATTTATACAATTAATTAACTTTTAAATTTTAAAATGTATTAAAAATTTAGAAAAAAATATATAATTTTGTTTATTTGTTTATTATTATTAAATAATTAAAATATTTTATTACATTTCAAGTTAAATTTTACTTATAATTTAGGAAACTCAAATCTTTATAATAGAAATAAATAATTTTTAAAAATAATAGCATTAATCATTAATTTTTATATTTAATTTTATATAAAGAAAAAAAAAGAAAAATTAATTTTTGTATAGTTCAAATCAAAATGAAAAGTTAAATAGGAACAAATATAAAATTAACATTTGGTAGTTTCATAACTTTAAATTTGGCAGAATTTTAAGAAATGTTTATTTAAACAGATGGATTTTTATAACCAACACTTTCTTTGAAAGATTTTTCTAAAACTAAAGGATATAGATCATTAGATTTTTAAAATTGTGTTTTTTAAATTTTACCAATAATAGAAAATATTTATTAATAAAAATTATTTAATGTTATAAAAGATTATAGTTTTTTAAGCAAAAGTAAGTTATATATATAAAAAAATTATTAAGTAAGTTTAAAAACCTATTAACAAAAATAATTTTAAAAAATATTAAATAATATCATTTTTTTAATTTTTTTATATTTTTTTTTTAAAAAAAATAAAGCTCTTAATAAACGGAAAGATAAAATAAGATAGTTATAATAGGGATTAATTACAGAATTAAATTCTAATACTACAATATTTAATAAATTAAAGGATACATAAATTTCGTTTACTTCTAGTTTTCATTTAGTTCATATAAATTCAATGAAATTCCTTTAATTAGAGAAAGATTAAAGTGAAAATTATATGTAAATAATCTAATTTTAAATTTAAAAATAAAAACTTAATAAATAT